TGTTTTGGTGTTTCCGTGGCCAAGTCTTAAAACACTTGCACAACCAATAACCATTCGACCTGTCTTCTCACCCTCAATACCTTGAAACACTACAGCCATCAGTCACAAATTCCCAAAGCGCAAGCACCAAATGCCGTTTTTTTAAACAAAAAATGCAAGAGTCTCACTGATCCAAAGATCAGCTCTTCTTGAACAGCTTTCGCAGGTCTTCAAACAAACTTCCTACAAAGTGTTTACACAGTTTTGGATCTTTACAAAAAATTGACAAAGTTTTGGAATTACAACTTTTTTACCGAGTTTTTGCATTACAAAGTTTTAACAAAGTCTACAAAGTTTAAAAATAGAAATAACAAACTTCACAAAGTTTTGGAAACTTACCATACATTGAATTTTACAAAACTTTGGAACTACGAAGTTTTTACAAAGTATTGAACCTTTAGATATCTGAACAAAGCTTTGGACATTTATCAAGCTTTGAACAAGTTTTGGAATTTTACAAAGTTGCAACCAAGTTATTGAGTTGAACGTTCTTTTACAAAAGATTTTGATGCTTACAAACTTTCTACAAAGTTTCGGATTTTTTCAATCTGTGTCAAAACTTTGTAAACTTTATTCTTTGAAAACTTTGCAAAACGTTGTAAACTTTGTAAGAACTTTGTAAACTTTGTAAATACTTTGTAAATTTGTAAAAAGCTGCGTAAGCTTTGTAGAAGCTTTGGTGAAATTCTAAAACCTTTGTGAACTTTCAAAACTCTGCAACAACTGTGTAAAGATTGAACAAACTTTGCAAACTTTGTCAAAGCTTCGTAAACTGTTGTTAAAATTGTAAACTATTTATTCACTGAAACACGTTAAACTTCGTAAACCTTTGAAAAAACTTTGTACACTTTGTAAAACTATGTAAAAACTGCGAAAACTTTGTGTAAAAAATTGTAAAATGCGAAAACTTTGTCAAAACTTTGTAAACACTTGTAAACTTTGTCAAAACTTTGTGAACTTTGCCAAAAAGTTTGTAAACATTGCAAACTTTGTACACTTTGTACTAACGTTTTGTAAACTTTGCAAACAACTTTTAGATGTTGTAGGCCTTCGTAAACTCTATTTAAAAAAAGACATTATAGACTTCGTAACACTTTGCAAACTTTGTAAAACGTTTTAAACTTCGTAAACATTGTCAAAACATTGTAAACATTTTGAAAGACCTTGTGAACGTTGTGAAAACTTTGTAAACTTTGAACACTTTGTAAATTTCCTAAAAACTTTGTACAAATTGTGAAACTGTACAAACTTTGTAAAAACTTTGTAAAATGTAGAAAGAAACTTTGTAAATTTTGCTAATAAATAAACTATCAAAACTTTGTAATCGTTGTCAAAACTTTGTAAACTTTGTCGAAACTCTGTAGACTTTGCAAGACTTCGTAAACTTGGCAAAATCTTTGTAAACTTTCCAAAGTCTTCAAAACTTTGTAAACTTTGTAAAAACTTTGTAAATTTGTGTAACAAAAGGCAAATGTCGCAAACTTTGTCAGAACGTTGTAAACTTTGTAAAAACTTTGTAAACTTTGTAAAAACTGTGTAAACTATGTAAACTTTGTAAAAACTTTGTAAAAACTGTGTAAACTATGTAAACTTTGTAAAAACTTTGTAAAACTTTGCAAAGTTCTGTGAAAGAAGTGTTTTTGCACGATTTTTTGCTTAAAAAGAAGTGTTTTTCATGTAATTTGTTGCAAACATAAGTGTTTTTCACCAGCCATTTGTAAACTTTGTAAAAACTTTGTAAACTTTGTAAAAACTTTGTAAACTTTGTAAAAACTTTGTAAACTTTGTAAAACTTTTGTAAACTTTGTAAAAACTTTGTAAAAACCTTGTAAACTGTGTAAAAACTTTGTAAACTTGAAAAACTTGTGTAAACTTTGTAAAAACTTTGTAAACTTTGTCAAAACTTTGTAAAACTTTGTAAACTTGAAAAAGCGGTTGTAAACTTTGTAAAACGTTGTACAACTTTGTAAACTTTGTAAAAAGGATTGAAAACTTTGTAAACACTTTGTGAGACTTTGTAGACTCTGTAAAAATTGAAAAACTGTGTAAATTCCGAACTTTGCAAGAACTCTGTCAAATTCCAAAGCTTTGTAAAATCGTTGTAAACTTTCAATACTGTGCAAAAACGGTGTAAACTGTATAAACTTTGCAAATTTTGTGAAAGCTTTGTAAACTATGTAAATACTGTGTAAAGTTTGCAAATGTTGGTACACTTTGTAAAAACTACATGTAAAAATTGTAAAATTTGCAATCTTTGTAAAGATTTTTTAAACTTTGTACAAGCTTTGTAAACTTTCAATACTTTGCAAAACTGTGTAAACTTTGTAAAAACTTTGTCAACATTGCAGCAACATTGTAAAACGTTCAATACGTCTTTAATTGATGTTTTAATGGTAAAACCTTTGTAGACTGGGTAAACCCTGGAAATTGTTCAAAACTTTGTAAACTGTGTTAAAATATTGTAAACTTTGTAAAACTTTGTAAAGTTGGTAAACGGTTGTAAAACTTTGCAAACTTCATAAAATCTGTGTAAAACTTTGTAAACTTTGTACCAACTTTGAAAGCTTTGTAAAAAAGTAGTGAACTTGGTATAAACTTGGTAAACTTTGTCAACACTTTGTAGACTTTGTAAAACATGTTTAAACTTTGTCAAACTTTGTAAGCTTTGTCAACCTTTAAACTTGTAAAACTTTGTAAGAACTTGGTAAAACTTGAAAAAGACCTTGTAGAATTCGCAAACTTTGTAAAAAGGTGAACAAACCTTTTACGAAGTTTTGGAGTTCTTCAAATTATTCTTCAAAGTTAGAGCAACGTTTTACACAGTTTTTGGAACGTTTACAAAGTTTTATATTTTTACAAAGATATACAAAGTTTACAAGACTTTCACAAAGTCGTAAGAATTTGTACAAAGTTTGCAACTTTTGCAAAGAGTTGACAGAGTTGTTGAATTACAAACAAATTTACAAAGGTTTACAACGTCTACAAAGCTTTTACCATGGCCGTTCACTCACCACTCACGAGACAAACAAACCTATGAAATAGTCCTTTGGGTCTCGTATGTTGCCACTAACAACGCAAAAAAAAAAAACAAGACGTGTTTTATACCCTCTCTTAGTTCCGAACAACCAATTCTTCAGAGGCCCGCAAGGGTCAAAAACACTTCTTCTGCGCTAATTCCCCCGAAACAACGAACGACGGTCCCCAAGCAACTTAACAAGAAGCTACTAGTAGCTCCTGGCATTACTATACTAGGAGCAGGAAGCTACTAGTAACAAAGGGCATCGCTACGAACGGAGCACTGTTTGGACAGGGAATTGGTTGCTTTGGTCATCCATCGAGATATGGAGCCCCACACCCAGCCGAAACTCATAACCCTCCGGGCGAGAACAGCAGCGGTTCGGACAGGCGCCCAGGTTTAAGGTGGAGACCGGCTACATCCGGCTCTATCGCAGGTGCCGCAGTGCAGTCGAGAAGGGCAGAAGATTGCGCAAAGAGACCTCCAAATGACTCCAATTGTTTTTGAGATCCTCAGGACTCCAAAAGATCCAAATGATCCTCTTTGAGCTATAGTCTTAATATGCGAGATCCTAACTTTTTGTTGAGATCTTTTTGGGCAGACGATGAAGAGAATCGTGAAAAACTGGAGGCTTCAGGATGAACTGCAATTCATGTTGCACCTTTCTCGTCCAACAACGGTCGATGATTTCGCCAGGAAGTACTCGATGCTCTCACCGCTTCAGAAGTGGCGCTTGAAATATCAGCCTCAACTACCACAGGTGCCGGCGTCAGCTGTGTGTAGCCGCATTCTCACTGGGCATTTGGAAAAAGGATGGACGCTGATTTGGGTGAACTGGTGATTGCTAGCTAGCTGCCTGCTAGCTGTTGACACGAAAATTGCTACGGCCTTGCCAAGGCTTCAAAAACCAGCTTCAACACTCTTTGGATCTCTTTGGTGTGCAGGGTCCTGAGGCCAAATCCGTCCAAACCCCGGTGGCTTTGGGGGGCAGGTCCTGCAAGGTCCGAATCGCCTGGCGGAGGAGCATCGCAAGGCGCGAGACTTGACGATTCTCGCGGAGTCGCGTTCCGTGGGCGTTTCACGCCCGTCGAACGACCCGTCGAGACCCACTGGGCCCTACGAAGTGGGCTGGGCACCTTCAAAGCCTTTGAAGAAAGGGATGGTTTGAGGGGTCATTGAGGTTGGCATATCTGGAACGCCCAGATTTTTGGTGCAGAATCCAGTGGATTTTTGTATCATTACATTAACCATTCTGTATGCTTGCTCTATTTTGGGGGGTTGCATTCGTGATGATATATTAAATACATTACAAATTTGACAATTTAGCCATAATTAGATATAATTAGTACTGGTATGTTATACATCTCCATCAACACAAGAAGGTGTCAGTTCTGCCAGGGTTCCTGGGCTCGCAGCTTTGAGGCTCAAAGCCAGCCATCATGTGCTTTGATCCTAACTGGAGTCTTTGCCAACCGCTGTGCAGCAGCCCCTTTTGCTATGCAACGTGTCATCACGCGTTAGTAAATAACAGCTATTCCATCGTTGCTTGAGTCAGATCCCTATAGAAAGATTGAAACAGTTTCCAACATTGTTGAATAACACTCACTTTTCTGCACTTTTGATACTTTTGGGGATCACTGGAAATGCTTTGGGAATGCATACGCTTGCCAAGAAAGAGGCCCTATGCACACAAGCCCCCCTTGAAGGACACTTGTGCCGTTGCGAACTTGCGGCATCGAAAGACAAAGGCCAGAAGCTGCTAATTGCATCTAAGAGCATTGGAAGATCTGATTGCTACGCAAAAACCAGCTGATATACCATGGCCGTGGGTTTTTTTCGGTGCTCAATCCGCTGCCCCACATCCGAGAACGTCGGAATGCTTGGAGTCACTAGGTGACCCCCATGGGCCGCGTTGTCTCTCGGCCGCGGCCGCGAGAGATTCGCCATGGGCAACGCGCCTCCGATCTCTGAGCAGAAGCTCAAAGAGCTTCTGAAGAAATACGACAAGGACGGAGAGCTGGCACGAGGTTATGCGTGGCACGAGGTGGCATAGGGTGTCAGCACCCGGATCTTGGGCTTGGTGGTTTGGTGGTGCCTCCACATGGCAGAAAGAAGGACATCAGAAGCTACTGGCGCCATGCAATGTTGTTCATGTTCTTCTGGTGAAATGGCTTTGTAATACAGCCAAGAGAGTTTCAGCAAGAGACTGAAGAGACCTAAATCCAAATTATTGCAGTAGGCTTGCCCAAAATCGGCCAGGACAACAATGGCCTCGAGTGGGAGGAGTTCAAAGCATTGGCAGTGGAAGTTGGAGAGCTGCAAGGTCTCAAAAAGCCTGCCACTTGGCCATGTCCGAACGCGCGCGCGGGGGCGGGATTGGCACACCGCTTTACATCTGCGACTTGGTGACGGTCTTACTGAGGTTAACGACACGTGGACACTACATTGAGACGTGACGTTTGGTGTCATTCTGTTTCGTATAGATGCTCATGGTTTTGCCAACATGTACAACGTGTGTTTTTTCTTTCTTCGGACTGGAGCCCGTCCTGATTCTAAACAACTGTGTCAGGATGTTTTCCGCATGAACCAAGCGCTTTCAGCTCAGAGGTTTGAGTTCGGATGGACCTCGCTGCGTTGGTTCTTGTTTTATTGTTTCCTGCACCATTAGGTAAGCGAAGAGAAGCTGCCGCTTGGAGAGAGAGCTTCGCTTGATTTGACAAAAAAACAGTAGGGTCCGATGGTGATGCAGGCGGAGTCCGATGTTGATGATCGATGCTTTGATGCTTTGGATGTGTGGCTCCCAGGGCTGCGAGGAACGAACCTGAGGACTTCAACAGAGAAAGCCTTACCAAAAATTGACCCCTAAGCAGAAGCTGTAAAAGGCTCGGCTCAGTGGACTGTTGCAATAGTTGTTGCAATATGTTGCACTGCTCCACCCATGAGGCAAGACGTGCCGAACGGTGTCGTTGCTGCTTGCTGCTCGATGTGCTGTGCGATCGCTGCTCGATGTGCGATTGAGGAAAACCATTTTTCTTGGTTTGGATGAGGACAAGACGCTGAGCTGCCAGCAGTGGATGTGGTGAGGGCATGAAGAATCGATTTTGAGACTTCTCCTCCCCAACCTGATTGTGGAGCCCAAACAGCTCGGAGTTAAAACCGGGGTCCTGGATACCCCTTGCTTGACCACGAACAGAATAGACTACAAAGGACAGGGTTCTGGGGGTCCCAGTTTTGATCCACACCCAATAATGCAGAACATAACATATATTTGTAGGAATGACAGTTATGTAGATTTTGTCGGCTTTTGACTCGTTGATACCTGTTGGAGCTGTTGCAGGTCATGATCTACCTAACCTTGGCAAGAAGGGTTGTGGTGTGTGTTGAGAATGGGGGACCACAAAACAGTATCAAATTAAACGATTCGTTGCATTATGCATTATGATTTTCATAGAATTAATTGGGCAGCTTCCCATTTTTTAGGAGAAAACCGTGCCATGTATGTAGTCCATTGAGCTTCTTGTTTTTAAATGGCACTGCACCCAATCACACCAGGACAACCCAAGGTGCGCTGAGGCTGAGTTGATGCCAAAGATGCCAAAAAGTAGAGCGGAGCTGTTTAACACAGAAGTTCCTCAGAACATGGCAGTGTGTGAGGAACTTTGGGGGTTCTCGTTTGCATCACCTGGATACACCTGGATACCAAAGAATCATTATGTGCGTGTGCTGGGATCAACTTTCATCAAATCCAAATGTACACTTGCTGGTTAACACTGAGCAAGTGTTCCAGGAATCAACGGTGCCGCGTGTGACGGGGAATTTCACGCAACACGCACAGCTTGCCTGCGGCGCTCGTCCAACTCGCGAACCAAATCTAAGGAGTGGCGTGGTGAGTATCCAAGAGTTTGAGGCCGCCTATGCAAAGTTAGAGGAGCAACTGCAGGCAGCAGCCAAGGCCAAGGCCAAGAGCAAGGCCGGGTTTGCGTTTTGTTTGTATTGCTTTAATGTTGTTGGGTCTGAAAGAGGCATGATGATTTCCCCAACGTATATATACATGTTTTGTTTACCCTCCCATGAAATATAGGCCAGGAAAACTACCGCCATCCCTTCCTTTGTTGCACACAAACTAGAGTCCCGCACTGGTGGTAAGAACCAGTGCAAATGTATTGCTTGGAAGCTCTCAACGTCTAAATCAAAAGGACGCTACTAGGGGCTCCTGGCCGTACTACTAGGAGCAAAGGACGCTACTAAAGGGGCTTTTTCACCCTGGAGATACCGGCTAAATGGGCCCCTGCAGCAAGAGGCCAAAGCCAAAGCTGATGCCAAGCCCAAGGCGGCCAAGGCCAAGGCCAAAGCAAAGGCCAGGACCACTGGGGCAGGCATTCATTCTTGACCAGTTTTGTGTGTTGGACCCACCAAAGATTCTTTTTTTAAAAGCATGTTGCAGCTCAACTAAAAGTTTTTTGTTTTTTTTTTTCCATTCCTTTTAGCTACTGACGTATAAGACGTATACTTTACGAGGTTTAGGCATGCTCAGGCCATGTACCACTGTGGGCTTGCTGGGTAGCACCTCTAGGTCCAGAACGTAGTCGCAGGATGTTGGGTGGATTGCTGGACCATGCTGGACCATTTCATGCATGACCTCAAGTCTCACGACCACAGCCCACATAGATCAGATATTTTGCTGGAGCTGTTCGAGGTCATTGAATTGGGGGAGGGGATATGCCATCAAGACCAGGACATAGAATTCTTAACCTGCCTGCGGCTTTCCATTTTTGGTGTGCTGATGTGTTTAAAGCCTGAAAATAGGGGGGAAGCTCGGAAAATGAGTTGGCACAGTTGGTGTAAAGCACGGTTTGACTGAACACATTTTCGATGTGCCGGTTTCCAGTCATCCGTTTGCGAGGCGGCTGAGGTGACGCTGGCGGAGGGTCAGGCGGGCAGACTACTCAGCTCATGGTTGACCAAAGCGACCTTCCCTTCCCTGAACGAATTGCTAGTATAGGTGGGTGGCATGACCCCTGGATGGATGGCCATGTTCCGAATAGCTACCAGGTGGTGAACTCCACTTCCAATGATTCTCTTTTCAGCGAAGGTCCGGGAAGGTAGCTCTTGTCTTTGAACCCATGGGCTCCACCCCAAGAAAGGACACTGTCATCCAGCAGAGCCGGACTTCAACTAAATCGACGTCTCAAGCCAGCATATAATACCGTAAAGAGTGTTAGGGTGTTTGTTAATGAACTCATTTGGAGGTTGGATTTTTGTGAACCGACCCCTCTTTGTGGGTCCTGTTAGGTCAAGAAATGTGAGACTTGGCCGCCGACTGCGCCCAGCCAGTCCGCCCGCTCCGGCCTGGTCCGCCTCTTCAGACGTCCATCTTCGATGCCATGCCGGGCTTCAACTCCTTCGTCCGGGACCTGGGCGTCTCCAGCCTCTTCGAGGAGGATTCACGGGTGCCCAAAGCCAAGGCCGGATGGGGTTGGTTGGCATGGCAGGGTGACGTGACATGGCCATTTTAGGTCAAGGGCTGGTAAGTAAGTACCCTGGTGTGGATGCTTGACTCCTCCATTTCAAGCTGTCCTTTGCGCGACACATGGCACCCGCTTGGAGGAAGTCTTCCTTCATTTTTTCGGTTAGTAAGGTCCACGAACTCTTGCAGAAAAAGAGCACAAAAGAGCGGCGGTTGTTCACCTCAGGACCTCTTTGCTTGTTCCATCGAAGCTTGAGATGGTCCAAGCCTATGGGCAGGCATGTGTTTCATGTGCACATCACGTCACCAGCCTCATCCTTCAGAATTTCCTCCCCATCCTCAGTCTCCTCCTCCTCCTCCTCATCGTCATCCTCATCCTCATCCTCATCCTCATCCTCATCCTCCTCATCATCATCATCCTCATCCTCATCCTCATCATTCTCATCCTCATCCTCATCATTCTCATCCTCATCCTCATC